CCTTGTCCTGGGCATCCCTGGCTTGCTACTAGTGCACAGGGTCAGCTGTAATGAGAGATCACGTGTGACCATTTTCAGACAACACTTTCATCCTTCCAAAGAGGTAACAACTTCATCACATTAAAACCCATATCGACCGTTTCAGGCGCAGTGTTCGAGGCCAACCGGAGCACATTAGACGAAGAGGCCTTCCTGTACGCCGTGAGACAGATCAACCAGGGCCGGACTGTCCTGCCTAAAGCCCGGCTGGTCCCGCACGTGGAGCGGCTCCACTCGCCAGATCCCTTCCTCGCCATCCAAACAGGTCTGAACAACAACAGTATATCATTACAGTACGTGCATGTACATGTAGAGCGGTAGTATCACGGTTAAAAGTACTGGAACTAGTAGAAGTGATAACTCCACACGCGTTAGCCAGTACGTAACGTTACATGACCTTACATGTAGAACGTTAGTATCACCGTAGACAGCACTAGTAGTGATAACTCCACACACCTTAGACAGTACGTACATGTAAAATGTTAGTTTCACGGTAAACAGCACTAGAAGTGATATCTCCACACACCTTAGAGAGTACGTACATATAAAACGTTAGTATCACGGTACACAGCACTAGAAGTGATATCTCCACACACCTTAGACAGTACGTACATATAAAACGTTAGTTTCACGGTACACAGCACTAGAAGTGATATCTCCACACACCTTAGACAGTACGTACATATAAAACGTTAGTATCACGGTACACAGCACTAGAAGTGATATCTCCACACACCTTAGACAGTACGTACATATAAAACGTTAGTATCACGGTACACAGCACTAGAAGTGATAACTCCACACACCTTAGACACTACGTAAATGTAAAACGTTAGTATCACGGTACACAGCACTAGAAGTGATATCTCCACACACCTTAGACAGTACGTAAATGTAAAACGTTAGTTTTACGGTACACAGCACTAGAAGTGATATCTCCACACACCTTAGACAGTACGTAGATGTAAAACGTTAGTTTCACGGTACACAGCACTAGAAGTGATAACTCCACACACCTTAGGCAGATGTAAGTACATAAGGACACACTCGTGTCTTGATTTTTTTTTATTCCAACATTTCATGACTGGACATGGCGACGGCACACTCAAGTTATATCAACTTATTTTATACCGTCACCAAACGCGGAGGACAAATACGGAACAGGACAATACTCATTTTCACTTGAGTTAAGTGAGGAAAGTCGTGTAAAGTGCCTTTCCCAAGGGCACAAGATCGGTGGCATGTCAGGACTCGAACGCGGGACTCAAAGTTCCGAGTCGAGTACTCTGCCGCTACGCCACACGACCCCACCTTGAATTCTGCCGCCATGTCCTGTTATCCCAGACATGTGGTGGTCATTCCCAGACAGACAGACGACTAACTTATTACTACCGTCTACTCGGCAGGTATAGTTATATAAGGGGGCTGACATTGATAGATGTATATAATATTCGACATTTCGCCCAAGTCATTCTGTTCCAGAAGTAATAACGCAGGTGGGAGGGGGGGGGGTCTTCTTTTCCAGGGACAATGCAAAATATGAAACAAGTTTGAACTGGAATTTCCAACACAAGAAATTGGACTCACCCAAATTTTCGACTGTACAACTCCTGTCTTTGTCAAGGAATGAGCAATTCCACCGCCTTCGTCACGTCACGCAGATTACTAACGTGGCATCGTGAGTAGTGGATCATAGGTTGCAGAAAGTCTGTGGCGCCCCCCCCCCCTCTCTGTCGAGGGATGGTTGTAATGCCTGATGTAGATGGCCAAGCTCATTCCTTGACAAAGACAAAGACCTCCCACTCCCAACCATTCCCAGAACGCGGATGGAGGTTAGGCGTGAGTAAGGCCGTCCGTGGATGGGCGTGAGTAAGGCCGTCTGTGGTTGGGCGTGAGTAAGGCCGTCTGTGGTTGGGCGTGAGTAAGGCCGTCTGTGGTTGGGCGTGAGTAAGGCCGTCTGTGGTTGGGCGTGAGTAAGGCCGTCCGTGGTTGGGCGTGAGTAAGGCCGTCTGTGGTTGGGCGTGAGTAAGGCCGTCTGTGGTTGGGCGTGAGTAAGGCCATCTGTGGTTGGGCGTGAGTAAGGCCGTCTGGTTTTGAGTTAGTCTCCGGCTGTCTGTGGCTATCGGCTGTTGAATGTTTTAAAAGCTATAAAAAGTCGGGAATGGTCGGAATGTCGAGGAAGTCGGCAGTAATTGTGACTGGCGTGGCGGGGTGGACTGCTTTTAAACCTATCCATAACTCACTCCAGACTTACCACGAGGCTTAAAATGTTCAATAGCCGTCCCGAAATCCGACCTACCACTTTATGTGTCAGTCTCTGTGTACTCCGACTACTGTTTCATACATAAACCCTCCATCCAGGAGTAAAAGGGGCACTAAAGTCGGGAGGAGGGTGTGTCGTTTTTCCAGTAGATAATGATTACCTCCATGAATAATGCAGATATGGCGTCGGATGGCGTAGTGGTAGAGCGTTCGACTATGAAGCGGGGAGACCCGGGTTCGATTCCGAGTCGTACCCGGGACATGTCCGGACATGCGCCCCGACTGCACTTTACACAACCTTCCTCACTCCACCCAGGTGTGAATGGGTACCTATAGCTAACTTCGGTTGGGGAAAGTCGTATTGAGGTCACCTTGTGGCGACGAATGGCGCCGAATGGCAGTTGCGACAGTTCCACAAAAATGCTGTGGAGCAAATATGTGTGTCGTGTATTATTTGAATGTTGTGATTTGTATTGATTATTATGTGATACCCTGCATCAATTCAGCCGTATAAAGGCTGTATCTCTGTCTCGAAGAAGGTCGGGCGTGGTTTGCACACGTTCTGTTTCTAGTCCTCGGGACGGAATTAGAAAGGATATGTATAAGGACCTATAGTAAGTCATTGAAACTGGCTAAGAGTAAGTCAGCAGTGATTGAGGCGTAGTTTGTCGTCCATCTACGTCTCAACATAACTCAACATTCACCGTCCAAATTCCTTGTTCGAAATCTTTTTACAGTGACAGTTTCTTTCTACGTACAGCCAAGCTTTGGAATTCCCTCTCTGACAAGGGTTTCCCATCAAGCTACAATCTACAGGCTTTCAAATCAAACGTTCACCGCTATCTATTGACATAGCCATGTTTCTCTCATCTTTTTAGTTCAATGCCGAGAAGTAGTCGTATAGGCCTTGCATTGAACCACTCCGTTAAAATAAAATAATAAAAAAAACAGCTGCTGACTTGGTCCCAACCATCAGTGAACCAGTCGTCAACTATTCCCCAACCCCCCGCCCACTCCCAGAATGGTTGGGGCAGGTACATGTAGGTAGGCAGTGGTCGTGAGGCCATGATGAGGGGCTTTAGTCCTTCTTTAGTTCGGTGTTTCCTACTGAAGCATGGACCAACAAATGTACCGGCCGCCGCCGCTGATGACCTGCCATGAACAGGCGAGGAAGTGTGCCATTAGCGGGTCAACAGGCCGAGCTGCTGCCGGTCAGGACATCCATTCCTACCGTCCCACAGTTCTACCCAGAATGAATGCATCCAATTTCTGACCAACCGCTCGAGCTGTCAGTGTCACTAGTAACTGTTTTCAAGAATGTGCTGGTTGTGAAACATTGTTATGTTTACCGAAGGAAAACATATTGTTTTTACTCAGTTTCTTCCTCTTCTTCTTCTCCAAACAGTGACCTATGACCTGACCAATGACATAATTTGTTTACGTCTGTCACCATAGTGACTGGTGTTGGGTTACATAATGTTGCAATTTGATGGTCTGCTCTGCTCCTGTCACCATATACTAATTGAACATGTATATGAATGTGATTGAGTAAGAATTAACAGGGCAGACCATGTCGGAAGGTAAACATTATGCATTTACTTTGCAAATGTTACTTCTCTAGTATTTATTTTACTTCTCCACTAATTCTTAGCTCGGAAGCCCAAAACATCCAAGTTACAATGGTCACACGATTAATGATTATTGTAATATTGTATGAACCTTTGGAGATTTTCCACCAATTTCCAGCTCAATTGCCCTCAAGACCAGTGAAGTGTTCGCAGTCAGTTGGCTAGCAACAAATCTCTCTTATGTTGTCATTTATGGAATAGAAGTTGACATTTGTGTTGGAGCAACCTTTATGTTGTTGATGAGTTTAAACACATGGCCAACTCTTTCATATGATAGTGGAGCCACAGAAATGTCAGCGGTCAGACCAGGTGGTATATTTGTACGTGGTTTCTGAAGCACCCTCAGTTTTAACTGGAGTGGATATTTGACCCTTTGACCCATGTAACCGGCCGCGGTGTCAAGCTAGATACATGATCCTGCCAAATACATGACTCCGACACTACCTGGGAACTTCCAATATACCTGAGACAAGGGGTGGGAGGGGTTTAGTCGTGATGTAGGAGACTAAACCTAACCTAACCCCAATCTTAAAGGCGTCCAATGCGATTTCAGGGAAGCAAACTGGAATATCCTGAAGGTAATCTTTGTGATATTGACACATTCTGCTTCACATTAGCACATTTGAATCATCATTTTGTACTTTGGACATTGAAAACTACAGAAACAAGCTCCAATGATGAGTCCTTTATTTTATGGGTGGTACCCTAAAATTCAGCCCAGGCCCTTCCAGGAACCATTTTCCGTCAGAAGTTTGGGACTTTTCGCTCCATAAGTGTCAATATACATCAGGATAGTGTGGTTTTAACTCAGTATATGTAGATAAATGACTAGAATATTGGCTTTGAGAAATCGGGTTTCCAAGTCCTAAAAACTGCACTGGATGCCTTTAAGTCTAACCCTAGCCCTGAACAATGATACAACTCTAACGCTAACCCTAACTCTGATACCAACCCTAACCATAGCCCTTAGATGCATCCAGTGCAGTTTTTAGGTCTTGGAAAACCGATTATTCAAAGTCAATATTCTAGTCACTTATCTACATACTGAGTTGAATCCACACTATCCCAATGTATAGTGATCCACATTGCTCCATATGGAGCAAAAATTCCCAAAATTCTGACGGAAAATGGAAGGGCCCTGGGTTGATTTTTAGGGTACCACCCAGAAAACACTCATCTTGGGGCTTGTTTCTGCAGTTTTTAATGCCTAAAGTATGAAATGCTGACTCAAATGTGCTAATGTGAAGCAGTATGTGCCAATATCACAAAGATTGCCTTGTTCAGAATATTTCCAGTTTTGTTGCTTTAAAGTCGCAGTGGATGCCCTTAACACCTGACCTCGCAAGGATAAATCCGGGACTGAGTGGCTTGAGAA